TCCAGTTGGAGCGTCCGGGATTGCCCTCTCGTCTTATCAGCTGACAGCGAGCTATCTATCATCTGTAGCACATGACACACGAATCTTGATCTAAAACTGAAACTGAAACCGAAACTGAAACTGAAACTGAATGAAAGCACGATTTCGTCACCTGGTTCATATTTATTATATTTTTTTTTGGCACCTATTTTCGCTGCTATTTCGGTGGATGCGCCAAGTGGTGCTGGCTAATTGAATTTATTGCGCGCCTCACTAAAATAAACACTGCAATTCACACACACATACAATACCTAATACATTTGCTTTTGTTTTTATCACCTGACGTTGAGCACATTTTTGCATTGTGCTCTGTATTATATACGACTATGAAAGCAATTTATAGACCAAACAGTCGTACATATTTGCTTTTTATTTAATGACAAACAAAATTGTTTTTTTTTCTTCTTACACACACGCACACGGCAAAACTTTTACGACGTGGCTAACCTTGACGGTAGCCAAGCAACTTGAAAATCGCATCTATCTGTATAACATGTTATACATATATAAGTATATATATATAGTATATTTATTTATTTAATATATAGTCCTGCTTTTGAGGCTGCTGCCTAACTTCTGTATAGATAAATTAGTTTAGATCAGCTGAGAAATATTTTCATATTTTATATTCTGAGTATTTACCCAGCCTTTAATCTCTGATATAATAAATATAATTTTTAAATATATACAATTTTGTAACAATTCAAAAATTATAATAAACATAAACATTTTTAGAATTTTTTTAAAATTTATTTGTTTTTTTTTTTCTTTCTATGTGAGTATTAACAGAAAATGAATCTCAGTTAGTTATATAAGAATATATTATATATATATATATATATTAATATGTCAATTTAAGCTATGCAGGGTATCTAGCCGTCGATCAGAGGCAATTTACAGTTAATTAAAATGAATTGGTGAAAACAACGGAATGTCAAATGTTTCAAAACAATTTCACCAAACGCCTCGGCGTACACAGTGAGAAAACCTCATTTCCCCACAGGTTGCAAAAGTGCTATGCACAAAGGGGGCCAAAGGGGGAGCTTGTGTGTGTGTGTGCGTGTGCGTGTGCGTGTGCGTGTGCGTGTGCGGGTGTTGTCTGTTTGCCGCACATTGCACTTGAAATAGTTTCGACGCACATAAAATTTTCGTGTGTTTGGATTTTGCTATTTCTATATCTTTCTCTGCTTCTATTTCTATTTCAGTCCAGCTCATAGATATGCAGAGATGCGCCGTATAACGTATGCTAAAGAGCGCTCGCCCATTATCATAATTTCTTATCAAATGACTCATGAGAAATCGTGCTGTGCGCAACAGTTGGGCATGTGCCGCTGCTGGCTCCGTTCTCTGGCAGCGGCCCACTGTAAACAGACAGAAATAATAGAGGGCGAACGCAATATTAACACAACAATTGCATGAATTGTGCAATTTAATTTATATGCTCAAATAAAGGGAAACAATCGGAACGGAATACGTACGGAATTAGTTAGTGGCGCCTCGCTTTGTTGCCTATTCTTCAATTGAAGAGAAAGAGAACTGAATGGAAATTTCCTTATCTTAAAGTTGTTATTAATCACGTTAGAATTTGGTTAAGATATGTTTTGGGTAATATCTTGAGAGCTTTAGATATAATGAAACAGCAAAACTTTAGTCAAATTCTTATATCTACGTACCTTTAAAAAAGGAATATAAAACACAGAAGAGATTTAGTTAGTAAAGTGATTATAATGGAAAAGTTCTTGAAAAGCATAAACCTTTCAGCTTGTGGAAACTCAGCCAAACTGCCTCAATAGAAAATAAATAATTTATAAATTTATAAAGCTATTTAGATTATGTTCAGTACGAAATGGAGCAAAGAACAAAGAATTGTATTATAGCTAAAATGCATTATTTTGATTCTAGAATAGTTTTGCTTTATAATAGATTCAGTTCCGTATTCAAAACTTATTTTCTTCGCAAAATACTTTTTTCAAGAATCCTCAATAGCTGCTTAATAAATATGCTAAGCTCACATTCAATATGGGCATTGTCTGTGGGTCCTATGGCTTCCCGCATTTATGTTATAATTATGCCAGGCAGACAGGCAGGCAGGCAGTCGGGTAGACCTGGTAAAAGGATACTCAGCAGCCGGCATAAACTTTCTCCCCCTTTCGCTGCTTCAAAAAAGGCAAAAGAGCGAAACCGCAAAAGTAAAAGAACTACAAAAAAAGAAGAAGGGAAACCACAAAACGTTGCAATTCACTAAGCCGCAGAGGGGCAGCTCAAACAAAGCGAGGGGCGTGGTGCACAGTAATAATATGGTGCGATAGCCAATTGCAAATGCAATTATGCAAATGCCAAAAAGGCAGTTAGCAAAGCGAAAGACAAGCGAGGCACAAATGAAGGGTAATCAAGCCAAAAGCAATTGATGAACGAACCCAAAGGCACAATTGATAAAAGTGAGCGCAGAGAGCAATTAAACCAATATAAATTGTGAACACGCGCCAAAGGCGCAAACAAAACATAAAAACCAGCAAAGCAAAGATATTCCCAAATGTGAAATCGATATGGGCTTGAGCATATGCCCAAAGGGTCGCACAACGAGGGGTGCTGGCTGGGCCTGAGAACCGAGGGGTTGAGACCTACTCTAGCTAGGGAATCCGATACGATATTTGCCTTTACCTTTTTTTTTCCTGTGCCAAAATTGCAGCCGCTGATGAGCTCAGAGCCCAAAATCAGAATAGTGCGATAAGAGCTGACACATTACACTGCCACGCCCCACATACTGATATATGTATATATATATATTGTATATATAGAGTATCTGCTCCGTCTGACGTTAACTTTTGGCATATGCCAAACGCTGTTTGCTGTTATCTCTACAATTCTATCAAATTACAATCGAGCATTTGTTTTGGTTCCTGTGCTGAAATCTGATAAGCAACAAGCCTCCCCCTCGAACAGAATCGCTCTACTGTTAAATTAAGTGTGGCATTGGGATGGAGGGGGGAGGGAGAGGGGCGTTGCTAGTAGGGGCTTGTATAATAATTATAAAAATAGTCGATTGGCGCATGGTTGGGCAGCATTCGATTAATTAATCGACAAAAATACACAAAAAAAACAATTTAATTAGAATCTAAGCAGACAGATACCCTGGAACTAGAGCTGTGCATATATGGAATATGCCAATCTGGGATATAGTAGAAGGCCTCGGAGAGTTATATATAGCAGGCCTTAAGTACTTTAGGTATCTGATTATAAATAAAAAGTGAATACGGAAATCTTAATTATCATTTATTATATATATTATATCAGTTTGACTGATAAAGTCTGGTATTTGTTGACTAAGTCAAGTTAGTCGAAAGATAGCGCAGAGAAAATTGTTAAATATAGAATATTACCTATATATATATATATATATATTTATATATATATATATATATATATATATATATATATCATACATAGATAAGCAACATTTCCTTCTTCGTCTTCGTTGTTTCTTTGCCTATCTTAGCGCACAACTCACTTGGATAAGCTCATCCGCCAAGGACTATTTATAACTGTATCTTTTTGTCGTTGGAAAAGTGATTGACAATGGGCCCATGCATAAAATGTAGCATATTTGAGGGCGTTCGAGCGTGTATCAATGCATAAAAATGCAAAGAGTGGAGAGGGGCAGGGGCACTGGCAGTGGCTATGCCTGTGGCAGAGACAAATGACAGCGACCCACTTAGTGGCTATGCCTCGCTGAGGTAAGCACAGTGCGCCGCTTTGTTGCATGTATGTGCAATTACGTATACGCCCTGTATTTATTGGCCGAAGCCCACGCTGCGCCGGCTAAACTAACAAGTGGTCCCGCGAGAGAGCGCTGCGAGCTGAGAGCTGCTGGGACGGCAAGTGGGTGCCGGTGCCGGTGTCGAACACCTACGCACACACAGCAGGTAGTCAGGCACTTACACATACACGCACAGCGAGCACTTGTGCTTGCATTGAAATGGAAAACAAAAGCTGCACGAGAAATGTTGCAAAGGGCGCAATGTTGCCAGCTGAAACTTTCAACAGCTGTTCGGCCAGGTTGAAAGTTCATGCAACAACAATAACTACAACAACAGCTATGTTTGCTGCGTCCTTGGACTTTTCTGGTGTAGCTGCCACAGCAGCCAGCGAAGGACATTTGCTGCTAGCCGGGTGCTGCACACACGAAAATCAATACGGCAAACACTCGAGCACTATAAAATGCTATATGCATATCTAGGTAGATTTCCCAATACCTTTTCAGCCGATACCAACAACAAATTCCACTTGATTAGCACACAAAAAATGTTGATAGCTTTCAGAAATGCCTCGAAGAAAACTTAAATACATTTTCAAACAGATATGAAAACAAAATATACAGTTTACGAAATAAACAACAACAACAACAGCAGCACTCGATGAGTTACACTTTAGCCAGAGCCCACTGTGGATGGCCGCGTGCGCTTCGAGTTTGATTAGAGCACAGACAATAACAACAAAAACAAAAGCAAATCTAAATAAAATAAGCAATGCAAATCGATTGAAACACAACATTTTTCAATGTTGTTGTAGCTGCTGCCCTTGTTGTTGTTGTTGTGGTTCGAGTTGTTCGATTTGTTGTTGCTGCCTACATTTAATTTCAAACACTATAGTTTTCATTTTCATTCTAAAACGCTTTCAGTTTTAGTTCTTATTGTTATTATTATTACCTGTTTAGCGTATGAAAGAAATCACATTTAAAATCTAAATCAAATGGTCAAACAGCAGCAGCAGCAACAACAACAACATGCACGAAAAACTCACTTGGCTAAAAAAAATTAAAATTAGTTTCTGAAATTCTTTGGTCTTATAACAAAACGCCCACTCTTTCTATTGCCCACACGCAACGCGATAACGAGCCTCAACTCAGCCAAGAATATTAACAATAATAACGTTAACAATAATAATAGTAAGAGATATCATACATTAGTGTTGCCTGCGTACTTCGATTTGCTTGGCGGCCCAAAACTAACGTTAGTTGGCCAAAAGCGAAAAAAACTCTGTTATTCTCTCTCACTGAGAACTCGCCAACGGCTGACCGAGAAACGAGCGCGCACTCTATACGAACAACCGACGCGTTTCAGTTGCGCCAACAGACTGAATTGTTCGACACACAGCTGAGAGAGCGGGCGCAGCCAACAAGAGCAGCGCAGCAGCAGAAGAAGCAGCGCCGTCGGCGTCGACAGCAGCATGGCAAACGCCGGCTGCAGCAGCAGCATTGGGCGATTCTTGATTCAGCTGATTGATAAGAGACTCAAGCACGCACACACACATGCATGCAAATATGCATACTCACTTACATACACACGCATGCACACACATATACTCACATATGGTGTTGCATTTATCAATTATCAAATGCATTTATTCAAGAGCACGCAAAACTACGTAATTGATATATGTTAACTATTCATATTATTAAATATATAAAAATAAATAATAACTAATTTAATACATAAATATAAATTTAATAATTAAAGAAATATATATAATAAAGTAATAAAAAATAAATAATCAATGGATAGTAAAAAATTAATAACTTAATAATTAAAAAAATATAAAGGAAATAATAAATGTATAGTATAATAATATAATAAATATATAGTATATAGTATAGTAAACATATTCTAACTAAACTAAATATGAACATCATTTTATTTTACAACCAAAAAATAACTTTTTCATTTCATTTCATTATAATAATAATAAAATATAATATATATTTTATAAACCTATTTGTTAACTGGAATAAGCTAATTCTTCGAAAAGGTGTTGTTTTTAATTAAAATTAGTATAAAACATATAGAAATGAAAAAGTAAAATTAAATCGTAAATTAAGTATTTTAACTTTAACAAAATAATATTAAATTGTTCACACTTTATTCTATTTATAAACAAATCATTTCTTTAGAAATTTATATTTGATGATTTCTCGCAAATTTGTTTAGAAATTGGTGCATAAATCAAGCGCATTTAAGCTAATGGGCACAAATTTTTAGTGCGAATGAATTCCAAAAAAAAAAATAATTTTTCTAAGAAATAAATAAATAATGCAATTAACTATTCCAATTCTATATACAATTAGACAGAAAAAATACAATTAAAAAGTCACGTAGTGTAGGATAAACGGTTTAGGTGAACAGTTGGAGGATGGAATTTTTGGCAAGACTTTCGAACAGGTCACGGAGAAATGGCAAGATTTGAATTCCTATTGCACGAAACATTAGATTCATATGCATATTGTACTGATGACATGCTAAGTATGACTCCTGTGCAGTTTGGTTTTTGGGAAGGCCTGATGACGACTTAGGCCATGACTCAGGCGCAACGAGAGTCTTGTTTATTGTTTCGGATATTACGGCATTCATGACTTGACTTGATTTGGAATTGGCTAACCAAATAAAATTTGTCAGCAGTTAAATGGTGAATCATGTTCAATATGTGTGTTCCAATACTTTCTATTTCGGCAGCATTCTAAATTAAAAGTTCTTTTTGGACATTCGAAAGTTTCTTTTTTATCGAATCTATCCAAAGTGGCTAATAAAATATACAAAAGGACGCAGGCCGAGGCCCAGTTCAGTGGCCCTCAACAAGGTTGCGGGTGTAGTTCGAAAGGCAAACATAACGGGGAAAACGAACTGGATTATTTATTAGGCGACCCAGAAAGCTCGACGTGGCCAGCGAAGCCCATTGAAAATGCAAAATGCCCACCAATTAATTAGTAAAAATTATGAAATGGAAGAACCGAAAACTAAATATGAAAGTGTAACTGAAACGGAAACACAAAATTCGTTTGAGTTATGCGCTAGCGAAACGCAGCTCCAATTTGAGCTGCTCCTCCACTTGCCCCACCCTCTACGCGCCTTTCAAGTGTCCTTGCAGTCAGTCCGAGGCATTAACCTGCTAGCCCTTTGGCGACCTAAATACCAGGCAAGGCTGGAAACTTGTATACCCAAAATGCAAATACTATTTCAGGCACTGAGCAACATAGATGGTAGAAATTACTAATACACAGTGCATAATGTTTTTCGATGCACTGAGAGAAATAAGCAGTAGTTCAAGTATATGTTGAAGAACTGAGAGCAACCCACAAAGTTCTAGAATTACTTTCATCAGAGTGCTCGCTAGCGAAAGAAAAGTTAGTATTTGCTGAGATTTTCTTTCAGTGTACGACTTAGCTGCTCCAGTTTCGGGACTGGCCATATCCATGTGGGAGTTGTCCTATTGATTTAATTTCCACTATTCTTAGTGACGCAATGCGCGACGTAGTCGAGTCGAGTCGAGTTGAATGCGCTGTAGCTGTTGCTGTCGCCGTGGCGTCCCAGCTATAATCCTGAGACGCCTCCAAGGGGTTGTTTTCGTTTGCCACATAGCCACACTCTCTTGGCCCATTGAGCTATGTTTTTGGCTCTAGTTGTCTGCCGGCGCCGCAATGACTGCGCATAATTTTATGGTTTATGGCGTGGAGTAGTTGTCAGCTCCCAACGCCCAGTTCCCAGCTCCCAATTCCCAGACAACTTGTTATTGGGCCTTAGGCCTTTATTGCCAGCAATATTTTGGGCGGTGGCTAAACTGACCCTCAGCTGATGCCACCACTGCAGCTGGCTGCCAAACATGACCTAGACACTTTGGTCTAGTTGTTTCTATTGCGATCAGCTCTAACTGTATTTTCGAGGTCATTAGCAACAATGTCGTACAGCATGTCGCAGCGCAGCTCATTAGCATACAAATTAATTGAATAGTGACTAATGATGAGCCACAATCTGCATCTGCTTTGACAATGACTCAACTTCTATTTGCCGAAGAGTCCGAAAGTATATATCAAGTTGGATTAAGAGTGAAATTATCACTTACAATCAAGCGTTACTCAGAGCTCTTAATAATATTTGAATGATATATAAAATTTACAAGCAAGTTTAAACATAAGTGATATATACATCAAATGTTTTGTCTATTGTCTTTTGGCTCAATACGTTTTCTACAATAATTGGTTTTTATAGGAAATGTGTTCTATTTATGTTTTTATCTTGATCACAGAGCAAGCAGCAATTTTGCTAGAAATTTGCCAACTCAACTGAGTTAACAATGAGATAATATTTGTGCTCAACTCTAAAAACAGTGCGAAACTCATGCGCAGGGGATTGGTGCAGGGTATTTGGGCGAGGAAACATGAAAAATCGTTTGTAGTAACAAGTGCGCTTTGCACTTGAAGTTGTTTAACTTTTACTCCCCTGCCACGGTGCCGCCGACCCCTGCTCGCAGCCTCTGGCAGCAGACAACAGCTGATAAGACAATTGGCGGCCTTTATCGCTGCAAACAGTGAGTGGGTGCGTGCGTATATTTGTGCGTGCGTGTGTGCAGAACAGGTTCTCTGGCATTTTATCAGCATTTAGCGGGTGCCGCTGACCCACTTGCATAATCGGCTTATGTCCAAGAACTTCCTGATTTTAAAACAAACACTGCCAATTGTCTTGTATTTGGAGTACTTTAAACAGTATGCTATTTAGTGGTTCGTTTATCAATGAATGTAAAGTACTTAAGAGTTTTTAGTGCTTGGATTGGTTTCCAGTGAAACACTTCAAATTGCTTGACTTGTCAGCAATGCTCGTAAATTTCCTTATTAGCTACGCACATCAACCGCAATTAAGCTAATCAAACGATATTTGCACAATATTTTTTGATAGCTATCTTGATTGTCAATGTGTGTGGTTAATTGGTCTAATTTTTGCATGCAAATTTTTCCTTGATTGGGAACATAAATAGAAAGCCAAGCGTGTCAGCAAAGAAATATTTGTTAGTGACTTGCAGAGCTAAAAAAAGTTGTTAATAATTGGGTATGTAAATTCTTCATATAATAATCTCAACTTCATCTTCAAATTGAAATTCATTAAATTTGAAGCGCAATTTTTAATTTAACAAAATATTTGAATAACCCGCCGGTAAATGATAACTATAAGAAGCTGATTGATACAGCACACCAAGTTGGCAGTGCCGTCATGCAACTGAACTGCCTTTCACCGTCTCTGTCTAAAATAATTTTCTGATGTCTGGTCACACTTCTGCTGTTTTCCAAATGAATTACAGACAATTTGTCTGAAGCTTCCTAAAAAAATAAACAAAATAAGTATGGACAGCAACAACGATCTGTCAGATGAGTTAATAAGACGCCTAAGCGGGGGCGGTGGCCTGGGTAAGTCATAAATTAACGCTACCTATACACAGCTGCTGCAACTCCTGCAATGGGCAACCACACAGGCTACTTATAGTGCCTGCGCAAAGTCTGCGCGTATCAACAGTTGTCAACTAGCTAATCTACCCCAAAACTTTGCAGAGGAAGTGATTGCCAGCGAGATTTTTGAGGAGACGAACATATACGAGGACACAAATGACGTGGAGAACGAGCCAGATGACATTATCATAGTGCACATGGACATTAGGGAACCGCTCAGCACGCTCAAGTAAATCCATATAGATAAACGAGTTTTATATATAATAATTTCAATTTAATCTTGCAGAAAACTTGTTGAACAAAAGATTGGCGTTGAGCTACACTACTATACCTTCTGCTTGCAGGATGCGCAGGATGTAAGTATTCTTACGACTTCCTCAATACACCAAGTAACCAAAACTCTTTGTAGCTGGAGCCGCACAAGAACTTGGTCGATCAGTGTGTCAAGGGCGAGGGTCTAGTGCAGATCAATGTACAAATCCAGACCATTCGCAAAAAGATCAACATTGCGGATGTGCTAAAGCCCACAGAGGCAGCGCTGGCTACACTGGCCATTGAGGAGGCTGCACAACTTAGTGCCCAGGACACCAACAGTAGCGGCAAAAGCTCGTCCAGTGGCAGTCCCAGCAAGGCTAGCAAAAAACGTAAACATAAAGCCGAAGAATCGTGCGACGTGGATGTCACTGACGAGGATAAGGATGCCGATGTAGAGGTAACCAAGCCCGTGCTCAACTGGGTGCTGGATAGCAAATTTAAGCGCGAGCAAATCCGTCTCAAAATACCTGAATCTGTGAGTGAATGGACGCCAGCGCACGTCGCCCACTGGCTGGAGTGGGCGGTGAAAGAGTTCGAGCTGCGCGACCTCAACATGGACGAATGGTTGATTACGGGCCAGGCGCTGTGCGCCATGACGCACGAGCAGTTTAGCCGCAAGCTGCCACGAGATCCTGGCAATGTATTTTGGACGCATCTACAGCTTCTGAAGGAATGCAATTTCGTTTCCGTGGTGCACAAACAAGCCGAAGAGCTTCGTAAACCGAAGCAAACCAAATCAGCGACAGGTGCCAACATCTCCGGTGTTGGATTGGAGCAACGTATTATGCGCAAATCCTTTCAAAGCGTTAAGAGCAACGACTGTGAGCAGTTAATCTATAGATACTGGAGAGCTTAACCTAACCGTTTCGATATTTACAGCCTCCGAGAGTTCGCCAGCGCCGCAAAGTCCCAGTCATCATAATAGCATTGGCTCCGGCAACAATGGCCAGGTGCAGCTCTGGCAGTTTCTGCTTGAGATTCTTACTGACAGCGAGCACACGGACATCATCGAATGGGTTGGCACTGAGGGCGAGTTTAAGCTAAGCGATCCGGATCGCGTTGCCCGTCTGTGGGGCGAAAAGAAGAACAAGCCTGCCATGAATTATGAGAAGCTGTCTCGTGCGCTGCGCTACTACTATGATGGTGATATGATATCTAAGGTATCGGGCAAGCGGTTCGCTTACAAGTTCGACTGTGATCTGAAGCTGTTGATAGGCTACGATGCCAGCGAGCTATCCCGTTTAGTCAATGAGCGCAAATGGGCCGAGCATCTGCAGGCGGCGCACAAGGACGCCAGCAACGATGCGACATGACAACCGGACATTTCCCTCAAGCAAGAGCCCGACATCCTGTGGAAGTACGAGGCGCCATAACGTTGGCTAAAACTGTTCGTTATTAGTTTGTTGGCCAGTTTAAGTGTAATGCATTTAAATAGTTTTAGGCACATGATTTTATTGTTCATTATGTTCATAATATATTTTTATAGTTATTCACTAAGCTTTATAATCTCCGTCTCTATAAGCTATCGCTATAAATATCATATATGTAGGTACTGTAACTATCTATATAGTAGGCATCATATATGTGTAGGCATTATATCGAATATTGTTCGGTTACATGTTTGCGATTTTTGTAAAATCCATAAAATTAAAAACAGAAATCCATTTTCCACGCGATTCCTCGATTTTCATTTGTATGTTTGTGTGATTTGTGTTTTTGTGATTTTACGTGACTAGTTCGCTCTGTAGAGGCTAGATGATAGACTAACTAGGGCTAAGCTAGATTAAACTAAACTAAACGTTAACATTTAGCGACTCGGTATCTAAATGTGCGTCTCAGTTTGTTGATGGCCTGGCGGAATGTGCTCAGCTCCGAGCTGGACCTGCGCTACACATGGAACCGTGTAGCGTTGCCAGCTTTGTGCTAGGATAATACTCTTCCCTCTGCTGTTGCGGCCAAAACTAGAGCTCAGTCGTGATCTCGTCCTGCGGCCGAAAGCCCAGCTTATAGAACTCATCCTCCAGCCAGAGCGAGCTAGCATTGAGATCCGTGATGAGATTGCCGCTCTTCAGCGTATTGAAGCTACTGCCAAACGGATCTGAGGCGCGCGGCTCTTCAAACTCGTGCAGGCTGATCAGGGAACCGAACAAGTGCAGCTTTTGCTGTGCCGAGGCGTTGCTGTTTCGATCCCCTGGCAGCAGGTCCGTGCCCAGCTTTTGATTAGGCGTCGTGCCCGCCTTCTGCTGCTGTTGTTGCCTTAAGATGCTGTGGCCTGGCTTTTTGGCGGGCGCTGCATACAGCACCTCCGGACCAGCACCGCCCGCATGGGATGTCTGAAAGAAGTCAATCAGCTGGCCCACCTGCGGCTTATAGCGCTCCAGAGCGTGCTCTGACCACGCATATAGCCGCGCCCAGTCGTGCGGCGGCGTGGGTATCAGTTCGATCGGCCTGTTCAGCAGTATCAGCAGCTTGGCCAGATCCCGAACAATGGGTCGATACGAGTTGGCAGCCGCCACCTCGCCGGACAAATACAATTTGCGTATTTGTCGACGCGTGTCATTCAGCATGGCCAGAAAGTACTCTGCATTGGGCCGCATCTCGTTCAGCTGGCGCATGAAATCCGCACGATCCATTGTATTTTCATTGATGAGCTTCTGTTTGACAGACTTGCGTCTGCGCTTGCGCCGCACGAGCATCACGGCCACAGCCAGCAGCGAGAGGCATACCAAAAAGCCACCCAGCAGACCTGCCAGCGCTGCCATCAGCGGCCCGGAGTAGCCAGTGGGCACACAGACGCGACCCATGAACTCGGTGTGGGCTGACCATTGATCCAGATAGCCAGCGGGGCATTCATCCACGCATTGGCGCGTATCCGTCACCAGGTACAGTGGACACTTGATGCAGCCCGCCTTGTTGCAGCGCAAACAGTGCGAGCTCGTCGTCACGGGGCAGCCTGCAAAGAGAAGAGTGATGGAAATTGGGTTAGTTAGGCTGCTCGTGGGTCACAATCGAAGGTCTGTCAATTAGCGCTAGTTCACAATCAGCATAATTGCTGCTCATTTGCATAGGGCAGCGTCCGCTGAAGTCTCCCACAGACAATTCCATTAATGAGCGTAAATTAAGTCATCCAGCCTATTGAGTTATCACTAAACATCAAATTACACTAGTCAACAAATGTCAGGCAGCAATGAGATTTTTAAGATTTAGAATTAAAATGTATAAATGAACTACTAAAGCTGGACATGGAATCTAAAATTCAAATTCATTGTTGTCTAGTGTTATTTTAAATAGATATTTTATAAACTTTTCGTTGCACATAATTTATTTCTATCTGCACTTTTGACACATTAAAATCAAACTTCTTGTTGTCCAGTGTTAGCTGCGTATCTTAAAGTTCTTTCACTTTAACTGGGCTTTGTCACTGGCTATTTGTTTTGTTGGCTTTCAAATTCAAGGTAACGCCAACAAAATTTGTTTGACTTTTGGTTTTTGAATAAGACGACGACGACGACGACGACGACGACGACAACGACCACGACAACGACGACAACTACAACATCAACGCATTAGCATAAGAAGTGTTGAGTACACAGAGACAGAGACAGAGACAGTTGACAGACAAACAGTCGGACAGACAGACACAGACACAGACACAGCCTATGCTACATATTCTAGGAAAGCGTCCGTCCAATGGGAAAGTTCAATATGAGACGCGACGAGGAGGCGCATCCCAAGTGTTGTCGCCGCACATCAAAAGCTTTTTTTGACAACTGCAACGAGAGACAACGCAATGCGACTCCCAAGCAGCTCAGTTGTTGTTGCTGCTGCTGCCATTGTTGTTGTCGGATCAGCAGCTGGCCCATTTATCTTGGCCTGAAGTGGCCGTTATACCCTGCTCGAAAGGTGCAAAAACAGTAGATGGGTTTTACTCAATTCAAAGTTCGCTCTAAACAGTTTAGCTACCTGAACAGTGAATCTACTTAGAATATATAGAAAGCAATACAGAATTCATCTGGAACCATGCCCCCTGATGGAGGCGGAGTGTTTCAGCAAAGATCTATAACTCATAGATTAAGTTTGAAATGTGTAGAGTTTGAGACATATTTAATCTATAGCAACAAATATTCCTTGAGTCCTTCTTCAGCTAGAACGCAGGTATTTATCTACTTACTTATCCACCCATACATAGATGTAGATAATGAAATCTGATGTGCACAGGGTATGCTGCAGTCGTTCAGTTTAGCTTTTCAGGTTTCTTCGACGAAGCCTTGGCGGTTTTTGTCGGCCCGTCTGTCCGGCTGTCTTGCTGCCTGACTGTTTGTCATTGCACCACGTACGCACCTTGTCTGCCCCGATTGCCATGCACTGGGCGTCCGTCGTTCAGCATCGGGCTGGGCATCATCAATGGCATTAACTTGTTTTAGCGCTAATCAGACACAACCCCCGAGCAAATGCAGCAACTGCTCGAGCAGCAGCAGCAATCCGATTGCCAATTGCCTTTTGCCGACTGTCTGTTTGCCTTGGCCATGGCCAATTCCCAGCCAAGAGCTGTGCGGATAATCAGTCGGAACGCAACTCGTAATTGATATTGCGCAGTCCCAGTCCGGCACCACCCCGCCCCGCCCTGCTCTACCACCTGCTTCGACCCAGTGGGCTGGTTCTGGGCGTGCAGTTGATCAACGATAATTGGTTATTAAATGGAAGATTGCTGTACCCCAGCTCCTGCTGCAGCTGCCCGCCATGTAAATGCACTGAAATTACAGCACCCAGACGATTACATTCATATATATATATATGATATATATAAATAATGATATCTCGATTGAGCCAGCAGGATTCCATTGCCATTGGCATTGCGCACTTGAGCGGAATAAATGCATGGCAAATGCTCCTCCGACTGCGAATCGTAGCTCAATAGAGATTCAATTTAACAACTGATTGAATCACAGATCGAAACAATTATCATTGCAGCACTATCACGATTAAGTGTTGCGTGTAATTATACCCTGTACGCAATAAATACAAATGGATTAAAGGTGTGCCCATCCACATAAAATACATTGCCTAATACTCGTGGACATACATATAGGGTATATTATTTCTTTGAATGGGCTTGAATAATCTAGATGATTCCCGATAAATACCCCGTATCATAATTTCTCTTTTTTGCTTTCAAATCTATAATAAATACCCTGTACATATGCTCAATTTATAGGAATGTGTTTTCTGTAACATAGGGTATACCATAGATCAAGTTTCTTGACTATGTCGGAAAATTTTAATGTTTTTTGCATTGTATAATACATACCCTGTAAAGATTATAAATCTGCAATTGAAGATTGTTTTTAAATCTGCTCAAACAGACGATTACAGGGTATGTGCTAGCTGATCAGCCACCGTACAGAGCACTCATCATCTTGATATCAAATTGATTCATTTGCATTTCTCAACACTCGACGTTATCATAACTCAATCAACCACAAGCTGCGCCCTATTCAGAATCTGCCACGCCCACGCTGTAAGTTATGCAATTGTTTAGTTAAATATGCACTAACTAATAATACAAATTGAAGGAAATTTTTCTATTTGCTAAGTTTTGCTTAATGAGCAACGAAAAATTCAAATAACAAATCGAAAAACAATATTTAAACTTTCTAACGCTGACTCAGAGCAGCTGTAGAAGGTCTCTAAACATGTGAATTTTGTATTTGCTAGGCGTGTCAAATGATCAGGCAGTTGCCCAGATATCTGACAGTTATACTTTCACTCAAAAACAAGCACAACAATAGCCAACTGGCAATTAGTATATTGTAAAATGTTTAACGTGCTCAGATCGCAAATCGGCGCTTAAAGCGTTAATTTTATGACGCGTCAAATGAAACACGCATCAAATTGACTAAAAAAAAAACATTTGTTGTTGTGGGGAAGTTTATATATGAATGGTAACTATGAGTAAGTCCATAGCAGTTAGAGATGCAAGCGTGATACCCAGACACGAATGCCAACTACGTTTGAAATACTCAATTGGAATGAGTCAACTAAAGATGAGAGTTTTTGTGAAATTTATTAATATATTGTGCTCCTTTATAACTCTTCAGTATAAGGCTGAGCTAGTTTAGTTGCCCTAGTAACATCAGCTTATCGAATCAGGAGATATGTAATATATTGTTATTAAAACAAATCACACAGCGTCAAGCCCGAATTTTGATTTATTGTGTTGCTAAACCAAATTAAAATTCTCAGACTCAATTCAGATTTAAAGACAATGATCCAGCTGCACCAGAACAGATTCTTGAACTAAATAATTAAATCCAGCTATACATCATAAGTTGAAACTATGGAAAAAAACTTAACTCAAGAAACACAGCTGAAGTCAGGACATTTTGGTACAATTGTAACTCAAAGCACAAATAATTTGGCTTCAACTTTGTACTAAATTGTAATCTTCTATTTCAACTTTTGACATTTTACAACTGAAACGAGACACGAGACAACACGCACCCATCTCTAGCACTATAAAAAAGATAATTGAACTGGTTCCACACGCTCAAGGTCGTTCCATGTGAGAGAGTCGCGCATTGAAATTGAAAATTGGTTATCGAAGATCAGCGGCAAATGTGGAGCCGAACAAAGCCTGGCCACTGTCTACAGCTGGCTATGCTTATCCAAAAGCAGGGCGTGGCCTTCATGTCAACTAAAAGCGGCGAGATTTACATGGAAAGGGGCGAAAATGTTCTAAGCGCGCAAATGAACAAATACTAAAACTTAAATAAACCGTTTAGTTTATGTACGGTATACGTTAGGCAGGCAGACACCGAGGCAGGAAGGCACGAAGATTGAACAACAACGCGTGGGCGTTGCCAAATTTGTTATTATGCCCTGAGCCGTGGGGCGGGCTGTTCCATAATTTACCACAAAATGCTTTGAACTTGCAACGTGCGCGATCAGCACCGCCAGCTGCGTGGCAATTGAGTTGACTTGAGTCGAGTCAAGAAGAAAGTTCGCCACAAACTTTTACCAAAAACTAAAAAAAAACCAAACACCACAAGATTGTAGGGTATAGGGCAGGGCAGGGCAGGGCAGGGCAGTCGTGCAGGGAGCAGCTATGTGGCATGCCCAGGCGGCGTTTATTAAAATAACGGTACTTAAGTGCGCCCTAAGCAAACTCGTACAAGCAGCAAGTCGCATGCAACGAGCCGCATGCAACTCAATAAAGGCCAAAAGCAACTCGCATTTCAAATGGGCGGCAACCGAAATTGGCACAGGACAAACAGAACAGCTTCGAGCAGAGAGAAGCGATAAGGCCGAAGAACTTTAATAAGCATTTAAGCGACATATATGACAAGAGGCAACAAGAAGCTCAGTTAAGTACATAATGTCCGAGAAGAAAGCTGAATAAGTGCTGGCTATAACAAACCAGAAAGAAGACTCTGCTTTAAATTGTAAGAAGCAAAGAAGTTAACATGAATAAGGAGAGAAGCGCAATTTGAAAGTTCTCTTGCATATTAAATACTTTAGATAAGATAAGTTATTCAACTGATTTGATGTTTTGAAAACTTTAATTAAGAATAAGAGAGAAGCATCTTGAACAAGTTCAACTTTGTAGTTAATCAATAAGTTTACTCTAAAACAGGTCTAAAGATATATTTTTATAGAATTGACAATATCAGATTTTATAGATTTTTTGTATATCTAAAAGTTGTATAAAGTGCAACATATTTTACAAAGTTTCTCTCTTTTCAATACTAACCACAAATTGAGTAATGTATGAACATTTAAAAGTCGCTACTGAAATATCTTCTATATTACATATTGACTAAACTTTCTTAAATTTGTAATTTGCATAAAAAATAAAACTAAAGAGAGAAGCGAATTCTTCAAATTTCTATTTCCTTTGCTGTCAAACGGTAGTTAAGATCATATCTGACTGTTGCCTTAAAGAGAGTAGCGAAA